TCTCAATGCTGGTTTCTCTCCTTCATCCAGTCAAGTCAGTAGTTCTCAAAGTGCGATCGTAGAAATACCAGCATCAGGATCACCTGAGAACGTGTTAAAAATGCAAATTCTCCTCCCCACTCAGATCTACTCAATCAGGAACTATGGGCGTGGGGTCCAGTAATCTGTGTTTTATCAAGGCCTCATGTATTTCTCATGCAAGCTGAAGTCTGAGGACCAAAGTTTGATCTAAGTGTTGATTTCCAGAAGTTCCATTCCTTGTACTTTCTGTTCTTATTCTCTAATTTTTGGGTAGTTATATCTTCTCCTACTACCTCTACAATGCTAACTATAACTACCACTACTAATAGCAACAGCTATCATTTATTAAGCATTTAAAAGGTAGGTACTGTGCCAATCATTGTGCATATACTATCTTATTTAATCTCCACAATGATTCTTTAAGGTATTATTGATCCCACTTTTTGGAAGAAATTAAGGCTTAGAGATGTTAAATAACTTGCCACAGTTGCCCAATCCAACCAATAAGTGAAACAGATCTGACCTCAGGTTTTCTGGACTCCAAAGTCCACAGAGTTAACTACTATATTCACTCCTAGAAAAGTACTATTTCCTTAGCCTTGGAGATTGTCACAATTATTCCTAAACCGTCTCATCAACTCTGGAGTAGAAATCCCAATCACTACTGGCTCTCTCTAAACTCTACACAGGGACCTGCTAATTAACATGCCATCATTTCCTCTCTCCATTGCATATCTGTTCTTGCTCCTGTGTTTTCTAATCTAATGTCCTCATAATCACCAGTTATTCAAGCCATACACACCTTTGACGTCTCACTCTCTCACCTCTAGCTGGTCATAACATTTAAAGATTTTAACATTTGGTGAGCCTGAGTGGCTCAGTGGGTTAAAGCCTCTGTCTTCGGCTCAGGTTCATGATCTCAGGGTCCTGGGATCGAGACGCGCCTGGGGCTCTCTGCTCAGCGGGGAGCCTTCTTCCTCCAATCTCTCTCTCTGCCTACCTCTCCATCTACTTGTGATCTGTCTGTCAAATAAATAAGTAAATAAATAAATCTTTAAAAAAAATAAAGATTTTAACATCTAGGGGCACTTGGGTGGCTCAGTTCATTAAAGCCTCTGCCTTCAGCTCAGGTCATGATCTCAGGGTCCTGGGATCGAGCCCCGCATCGGGCTCTCTGCTCAGCGGCAAGCCTGCTTCCTCCTCTCTCCCTCTCTGCCTGCCTCTCTGCCTACTTGTGATCTGTCAAATAAATAAATAAAATCTTAAAAAAAAAAAAGATTTTAACATCTAAAATACTTCTACAGTCCACTCATTCCCACTCTCCCTCTTCATGCTCCCAGCATCTTTTTTTTTTTAAAGGTAGAGGTAGAAGGTAGAGGCTTAACCCACTGAGCCACCCAGGTGCCCCTGCTCCCAGCATCTTTTATCTACATTCTAACTGGTCTCCCTGGCTCTGCACACTAATGCAATTCTGCATAAGAACTGCGAGTTAACTTTGTGATCTGATTAGTCCACTTTCCAAGGCCCTCCATCGCCAACATGGGGGTGACATTGGAGGAAAGAAAAGTCTAGGCTTTTTAGAATGGAATGGAAAACCCCTTCATAATTTGGCTCCAAATATACCTTTCTTGTCACATCAAGAAACAACTCAAGGTTTTCTGAAAATCCTATTATTTTTCATCTTTGGAAACCTTGCTTATGCTCTCCCCTCTGCTTAGAATGCCTGTTTTCCCTTTTACGTGTGCAAAATTCTACTTAACTTGCAGGGCTAATAAGTTCTATCCTCTTCTCTTTAAAGCTTTCCCTGATTCTATCAATTTTTCCCCAGCCAAAGTCATCAATCCCCTCAGCATTTTACTTATTCCAAAGTGATTAACTCTTATAACACACCACATTTAGGGGTTAGTCTAGTCTGACGAACACTTAGTATCTCAGAGGGTAGACTGTGTCTTGTTGTTTGTGTTCCCAGCACCCATCACAGTATCTAGCCATAGCCAGCACCCAATAAATATTTGCTGAGTTGTTAAATAATGCAACATTTGGTGTTGCAACTTTACACAGGGTAGGTTAGCAATTCAACTTCAGGTTTATGCACCACTCAAAAGAATTTCCACATAACAACAAAAGATATTATAAAGACCAAAGGTTCAATATTCAGCGGCAACATTTTTAATTTTCTCAAATCTTTCTGTCAATATTTTTTAGCATCCTTCTTCAAATAGACTCCTTTCCCAGCAAACATTCTTTGTATACATTACAGGATCAGCAGTAACTACAATTCTCACAGACCACTGTTAAGAGATAATCCCAAGCAAAACTGTGTCACCGAGAGTGGCTGGATAATTGTTTTGGGTACATCATTTCAGATTTCCAATGGAGAGGCCCAAGCACATCAGGCAAATTTTAGAAATGGGGACATGCACTGCTGGCTAAATACATAAGATACATTCACATTAGCGAGGCCTTTATTCAAATTACTAACTGAAATCAGAAGTATACAACAACCTGATCCTCATTCAACCATAATATTCCCTAAGTTTAAGTAAGGATAACACGTATTCTTGTCTAAGACTCTATTTTTTTTTGAGATTTTTTAAATTTATTTGACAGAGAGAGATCACAAGTAGGCAGAGAGACAGTCAGAGAGAGGAGGAAGCAGGTTTCCTGCCGAGCAGAGAGCCCGATGTGGGGCTCAATCCCAGGACCCTGGGATCATGACCTGCGCCGAAGGCAGAGGCTTTAACCCACTGAGCCACCCAGGCGCCCCTCTAAGACTCTATTTTAACACAACTCCCATGCCATCCAAAAAGCTGGCCTTATCCCCGTTATCAGTGGGATCCTGATAAGCCTGCCTTCATCTTAACACTTTCCCTTCCCAACCTACTAAACCTTCTCTCTCCAGTATCTCCCTATCAGAGGTCTCCTACCCCATTCACTGGACAGGACCTGAAGGTCTGTCTCCTCTATATATACCCCATCAACCACACACACACAATCTTCTCAACACGTGATTTCTTTTCTCTTATTCAAATTTTATAGCTCTTTCAAAGACCGGATCAAATCTTAACCTCTTCCAAAGAGTTCCCTAACTCAGCCCACCACAAGTCTTAACTTTTCTAAATTTCTCCTGCACTTAAAGTACAGCTCCTCCCACAGCATTTGGTTACATACTGCCTCATTTGGTTTCATGATTTAACATACATATGCTTTGTTTTCCCAGCCAGACTGCTCTTAAAAACAAAACAAAACAAAAAACAGGTCTTCTACATCATTTGTATCTACAACCCTCCTCCCACACGTTACATGGTATAGGGTAGGGGGGCACATGTATTAGCTACTTGATGAACTAAATTAAATGTTTGCTGTACATTAATAAATAGTGCAATATATTAAAAAATACCTATCATGTGCCTACTCTGCGGCAAACTTCTGTAGATACTTAAGAGATAGCCATGAATAAAAATGACATGATACCTGTCCTAAAAACGGGTACTGTCCAGAGAACAAGAGACACTGAACTTCCAGCACTCTATGTACTACAGAGCAAGATTATTAGTTCCAACATGTAAGCACCTCAGGCAGCATACTTTACAGATCCTCTGTTAGGAAACTGAACCACAAAATTTTAGAGCTGAACGAAAACCCACAAGTTAATTTCTTCAATTTTCTTACACAGATGACGATTAAATTTCAGAGTAGTCTCTGTACCAGTTCTAGGCACTGCCTTAATCAAAAGTCGGGAAATATTGACTTCTTCTGTACCTCCAGTGCTCTTTTTCCCAAGGATAGTAACTACAACCGCCACACACTGACTCACAAGGGGATCCACTGCATAGAGAGTACTGGTCCCCGTTGATTTGCTGCACCTTACCCTCAGGCTTGCCCTACCACCACCATTTTCTAGCCCGCACGTTAAACAGAATCTGTATTTTCTGCCTAGTAACTAGCAAGTCTGTACTACTTTTTTTTTTTTTAAGATTTTATTTATTTATTTGACAGACAGAGATCACAAGCAGGCAGAGAGGCAGGCAGAGACAGAGGGAGAGAGAAGCAGACTCCCTGCTGAGCCGAGAGCCCCATACGGGACTTGATCCCAGGACCCTGAGACCACGACCCCAGCCGAAGGCAGCGGCTTAACCTACTGAGCCACCCAGGCGCCCCAAGTCTGTACTACTTTTAAGGAAGACAAAAAACAGTGCCTCCCTGCTTCCTTGGCCTTCATGATGACAAAAAAACAACAGGGGTCTGTGAAATGAAACAGCTGATTTGAGTCTGCGAGGAAGTGAGAACTTAGGATGGATATCCGCCCCCGGCCTCAAAATCCTTAGCAACAATGTGACAGAATGCCTAGGGCAAAGTTGTATGCGTGCATTAGGCACGTGCACATACATGCGAAGTTGGAAACTCGAGGCAACAGGTTGGCCGCCCCCTATCAGTACTGACAGATCGCCTTCCCCGGGTCGTGGGTGTGTCTGACGCCGCATGCCGGCACTGATTCACAACTCTCTCCATAACAACCCGCTCCTCCTCGGAGCCCAGCCAGGGCAGGGGCGAGGAAGGCCCCAACATGCCAAACTTTCCGAACCCCAACCCCGCGTCCCCAGTTCCGCCTCCTCTCGGTCGCTGGGTCAACCCTGACTCAGGCAGGCTGCAAGACTGCTCTGGGAACCTGGGCTTCTCCAGATTCCGACTCCTCTGTTTGGGAGCCTGGCAAAGCCACCCAGACACCTACTTCCCACTACACCTTCCGGGACTACACTGTCTTCACCAGCCCCTCGCTGCCGCTTCTAGGAGCGCCAGCGCCCAGAAACTGACCCTCGCCAGCCCCCGTCCCCGCTCCTTCCCCGCCCCCGGAAAAAGCGGCACAGGGGCGTGGAGTGGCGCGCGCGGGTACAGTGCGGGTGCGCGTTCCCGCGCCCCGGGCCCGCGCAGCAGGTGCGGCCAGGCCCCACCTCCCCTCCGAGGCCCCGGCTACTCACCCCAACGATGATCCTCTGCGACCTAGCCGCCCGTGCGGACGCCTCTTCCGCCTGCTCCGCACGCCCCTTGTAGCCACCGCCCCCTCGGCCGCCGTCGTCGCCGCCGTCCTCGCCGCCGCAGCCGCCGCCGCCGCCGCGGCGCGCGTCCGCCCTCACGCACACCGCCGTGGCCGCGCACGCGCCTCTGCGCGCTGGCGTCACTTAGCAACCGGTCGGCGGCGGGGAGGCGGGATCTGAGGGTTTAGGGTCGGAGGTGCCTCCTGGCGGGTTTTGCGGCGTTTCCCCACCCGCCCGACCCGTCGCCCTCCTTAGCTGGGGGCTCTAGGGTGTGGCTGCCCTGCCGGCACCTGGCTCCGGGTAAGTCACGTCACCATACGTAAATGTATGGCGTCACCGATCGCGTCACTGCAGATGGGAAGGTCCCCGCCTCGAGGTTCCAGGGCTCCTGTGGTTTCGAGAGCGGTGGCCTCGTCCAGACCCGCGCGGATCCCGTCGGTATTTCTGCGAAGTGCGGGAAGGTTGTACAGGGAGTGGAACCAGAAGGGGCTGAGGGCGCGGTTGACGTGGAAGACTGCTGAGTGACCCTCGTTAACCGAGCAGCAGGGTGTGATGGACCGATCCTTAAATTCCCGTTAACTTATTTTATAAATGGGGCTAACAGTACCCATCCTGCCTGCCGGCAGAATTGTGAGGCTAAGAGGAAATAATGTGTGCAAACTTACTTTGTAGGGTATAAAGCCCATTAGACTTTAAAATATTTTTATTATAGGAGAAGGCGGCCAAGCAAGAGCAGAAGAAAGCAGGGACTCTGGAGTCAGAGAAACCTAGGTTCAAGTCTGATCCTGGCTGATGCTGAATAGGCAATTTTGCTTGACGTTTGTACAGACTGGGGTACCAGGGTGTGGGGGGTTTGAGACTATCTAAAAAGGACATAATTCTAGGCAAAGGGTGTTTCATGAGCAAGGTATGGAAGTGAAAATGAACAGGAAGAGTAAGACTTGAGACCAGGAGACCAGTATTGAGGTGATTGCTATACTCCAGTTAAGAAGTGATAAGAGCCTTAACAAAGGTATTGGCAATGGAAATGTAGGAGAAAGAATAAATATGAGTGCTGTTAGGGTGGTAGAATTGACAGAAGTGAGTGGGGGATAAGTGAGAAGGACAAGTTTCTAGTATGGATGCTGAAATCGATGGTGGAACCATTTAGCAAGATGGGAAGAAAGATGAGTCTGGGTTATCCACCAGTTTCTGTACTAAATTACAAGATAGTGGTGGTGAGAGTCTTGGAGGATGATCAGATTTGTGGAGTGAGATGGTGATGAGTTCAAATATAAATCTGCTTATTGGGGAAACAATCTCCACTGGGACAGTTGCTGGGAGAGACCAGGAGTATTATATTAACGGCTATCACTCCAAATGGAATCTGGAGTCCATTTGGACTCCGCTCATGATGTTTCTTTCCATTTGGAGTGATAGCCATTAATATAACATTCCTGGCCTCTCACTGCACCTGCCCCAGCTCACTACTCCCTGAAGCAGTGACTTCCTGATTGGTGAATTTAAAAGGAGAAACTGGACGTATATAGCCCACCCCATTCTTTTCTCTTAAAAGAAAATTGCCTTCAAGAAGTTGCCTTGGTGGTACTTTCTCCTTCTCTAGAAACAGGGTGCCTGGTCCAGGACCACAAAGTTAGTAAACAAATTTAATTTCATAATTTGGTATTAGGAAGCTCTCTGCCCACAGGTAACATCCATACAGAATAATGGTCCCCAAAGGATGTTCATGGCCTAATCTACAGAATCTCATGAATGTGTTCCCTCCCTTACATGGCAAAAGGGACTTTGCAGGTTGGATTAAGTTAAGGATCTTAAAATGAAGAGATTATTTTAGGTTATTTGGCTGGGCTTGGAAATAAGAAGGTCTGAATCAGGGAAAACAAAAGTCAGAGAGAAAGAGAGATTTGAAGAATCTGCACTGCTGGCCTTGAAGATGGAACAGAGGAATGCAGACACCTGGAAGCTGGAAAAGGCAAGGAAACGGAGTCTTCCTTAAAGCCTCCAGAGATAATGCAGCTCTGCCAATACCTTGATTTTAGGATTTCTAGTCTCCGGGACTGTGAGGTAATAAATTTGTGTTGTTTACTAAGTTTGTGATATTTGTTACAATAGCAATAGGAAACTGATACAGTCAATAATAAAGATGATAGCTGGTCTTCTGCCACATTCTCCTTTATTTGAAAGAGAAGTATGCAGGTAGGTTCTCAGGCTCTCTCAAAGACTGAGCATTGTGACTGTGACTTGATGGATGGAACCTCCAGATCCAGAGGGAATTATCCAATAAGCAGTTGAATTACACAGATCTATGAATGAGGAGAGAAGTTGAGTCAAAATAAAGTAGATTTAGAGGACATTAACTTTTAATTAGTAATTTAAGTACTAGGTATGGATGATATCAATCAGGGAGAAAATATAGAAGAAATAATAAAGAAGACCAGGGATAGAGTCCCAGGAAGCCCTAGCTCTAAAAGGCAGTGGCAGATGAACAGAAGCCCACAAAAAAGTCTGAGGAACTTGCATAATACCTCAAGGCCATAATGCCTCAAAAGCCAGGGTTGGAAAGAATTCTAAGATGGAGACGGGGTTCAGCAGAGTCAGAGATCGCAAGTAGGTCAAGTATATCAAGGGCTGAAAAGCACTGACTGGATTTAAGAACACAAAAGTGATTGGTGATCAATAATAATGGCTTAAGTGAGGTAGTGGATATAGACATCAAATTAGTGGGGTCTGAAAGGCAGGTCAATATAGTGGATTAGACTCTGGTATGGTTGATGGAAGTTTGAAACTCTAGTCTTGGTTCTGGCAATTAACTAGCTAGGTAACTTTGGGAAAATCACTTTAACTCTTCCAGGCTTTGGTTTTTCTCATGTACCCAAGGAGAGATCAGGCTGAGTCTATGATTTGCACATAAATTCCTAGGTAATCCCAACTTTCTATTAGGCTCATTTGCTTATAACAGCACACTTCAAATCCTACTCAGGTTATTTCACCAAACATTGAGAGTTAGTATATTATATGCCAGCTTCTGTCCACATACTGTGGATCTGACACATTTATCTGAGAAGTTCACAATTTAGGAAGGGAGATAAACACATAAGCATGTAACTCATTGCCATAGTTCTTTTTAAAGCAAAGCAAGGTACAAATTGAATGAACTATTAACTGTAACACAGTATACTACATGCTATAGTAGAAATTTGTATGAAGTGAAATAAGGGATGTATAAAGTGATACAGATAAGGGAGCAATCAATTTTGTCCAATGGAAACCAAGATATTTACCTACTCTCTCAGGTAGGCATAATGTGCTTCAAAAATGGACATAACTGTACCAGTGACATTTTCCCTGATAATTTAAAAAATGAAAGTTGTACTAAGTGCCAATCATTTAACATTCCTTCTAGGTAGTTTTGTTGTGATCTGGAAGATTATTTATGTAGATCTACTTCTAAATAAGTACACTGTTGAACTGGGGAAAATGGACATATGTACAAGTTGAATGCAAGAGGAATTTGTTTATTCCACCAGCTCCAAGAGGAAACCTCTATTTGTTATACATACCACACTCTATTACATTTGCTCATCTAATTCTCAGATATTATCTCATTAATTTTGCAGACACCAGCTTATTGTATCAACAGCTGACATTGTATCTCCGTTTTAGCAGGTGAGAACATAAAGTTGAAGTAATCCGGTCAAGGTCATACTGACAAGAGTTAAGTAATAGACTTAAGATTTGGACCCAGCTCAGGCATCCTCCTTTCCTTGGACCCTTAGTTTAAGTGCCCTTGCTCTATACTATTATATCATGTGCACACCTTCATTTTAACATTTACTATAATAATGATGATACTTACTATGTGCCAGATCCTGTTTTAGGTACATAATAGGCAGTAACTCATTTAAGCCTCATAACAACTCTTTGAGGTATGTGGTTTAATCACAATACTTTTATAAATCAGGCATAGAAATTTTAAGTACTTTACCCAAGGTCACACAATAACTGCTGGGGCCAGGGTTCAACCACACCAGGCACCTTCTGCTAACATTGAGGGATTCTAGAAGACCATGGTTTCCAGAACTTATCAGTGCACTTACAGTAGGGCTGTTGTGTGTGATACTGCTTCATAGTCATTATTAAATGAACACAAGAGAATTTTTTCTCAGGCCAAATGTCATGAAACACTTGGCTACTGTTGAGTAACTGATATGTTTTCTCCTTATAGGCAATGTGAATTATATAACTGGCGGTTTTTTCCTTTCACTTTGACTGCCAAGGAGCTCCAAGTAAAATGTGGCTCAGAATTAGTAACTGAGAGCACCCTTGGCCTGCATATCTGTATTTTGTTGGTTTAAAATTTTTCAAAATAAAAAGTTGGGGGAAAGATAATCTAAATTCTTTGTTTTCTAAATTTTGACAGTATACATTTATAATTAGAAAAAGCAAATAAAAGAATGTTTGCAGCTTCCAGTGATTTCTCAGGCTTTACTCTGTGGACAAGAACTAGTTTCCAATTAAATTCCATGAGTTCAATATAGATTCCTAGTTCTTTTCTTTTTTTTTTTAAGATTTTATTTCTTTATTTGAGAGAGAGACAGTGAAAGAGAGCATGAGCGAGGAGAAGGTCAGAGGAAGAAGCAGACTCCCCATGGAGCCGGGAGCCCAATGCGGGACTCGATCCTGGGACTCCGGTATCATGACCTGAGCCAAAGGCAGTCGTCCAACCAACTGAGCCACCCAGGCGTCCCTAGATTCTAGTTCTTAGAAAACCAGGACTTCTGCATTTCTTCAAAGCCTGGATCACTAGAATTTGTGTCCAGACAGATCAGAATGTATTTCAAGTAGCATAAAAGAAGCAAGTTGTGGCCCTCCTTGTTTTTAATCTGTATCTAAATTATTTGAAACCACTTTTGGATTATTTTGACATATGCTAGCTTGCTTTAGAGATAGAAAGTCAATAATCTTCTTTAATGCTGATATTTTATTATAATGAAGTTTAATGTGCAGTTGTTTCTGTGTGTTATCATTGGCTGAAAGAGTGGATAAAGATCACCTGTTCTAAAATTAAAATAATTATTTCTTTCTCAAGTTTAATTGGATTAAATCCAATAACTAAATACCAGATTCATTTTCTTTATTCAAAGGTATGTTTTGGGGTACCTGGGTAGCTCAGTGGTTAAGCATCTGCCTTCAGCTCAGGTCAGGATCCTAGAGTCCTGGGTTCAAGCCTGGCA